ATGAGGATAACGAATGTACAAATGTGCTTTATACAATTGATGTATGTATGGATTGTGTTAAGAGTTGTATGAGCCCCCAATAAAATGATTTTAAAAAAAAACGATGGACGGAGGTAGGGCAAGACACTGAGTGGTTTGCAAAAGCTAAAGGCAACAGAGGCACATACCATTACGTGATGCACACCACCCTGTATTGATCCATGAGTGGATCCTTACGCAGACATGCAGGCTGAACAGGTATGGGAGGGAGTGGGGGCACACTCACATATATAGAGATCTGACAGTATCTGTAATGTGTGTTTACTTTTGCTGCAAATATATCCATGAATGTGGTGGAGTATACCAGGGAAAGAGTTATGAATAATTCTTAAGACCTATGCAAACTCCTTGAAGGACTGAGACTGTGGATATGAGGAATCAGACTCATAGCCTTGGGAGCACCAAAGTCTACAGACATAACAGTTCGTAAAGACGGCGCTCTAAATCCTACTTGGACAAATAGTGACTTGGGTGTTAAAAGTTCTTAAGCAACCATCTAAGGTGCAACTATTGGTGTCTCCCCACCAGGAGGCAAAGGAAAAAGGGATAAAACTTGAAAGACATATGGAAACATTAGTGCGATGGAGGAATGGACCACCTAAGCACCAGTCTGCAGAGCCTAAACCCAGAAGAACTGGACGTGCCCGGCTGCCACCACCACCGACTTGGGAAAGGATCACAGTAGAAGGCCCTGGATAGAGTGGGAGAAAATGTGGGAAAACTCACAATCCTACAAGAAGCTAGGTTTACTGGCCATATAGAGACAAGTGGACGCCCAGTTGCAATGGATGAGTCGAAACAAAATATGTATGCATTAAGAGTGATAATTTACAAAGCTTCACCTGATTCACAATGAACAGCTCCGCAGCTCAGTGCCTTCAGGCCCATTCTGACACAGCAGCCCTACCGGACAGGTAGGACTGTGGGCCCCCAGGCGGAACTCTCTATGGGAGTAGGAAGCCTTGTCTTTCTTCCTCAGAGTGGCTGGGGTTTCCAAACTGCATGCCTGTCCGTTAGCAGCCCTGAGGTGGACCTCTGATTTAGGAGGAAACCAAACCTTGCCTCTGGAGATGTGTGGAGTATCCGCGGGACTCTCCCTTACCTGTGCATGACTCCAGCAAGAAGAGCACCTGCTGCAGGTCAGACTGACAGAGGTCCAGGTCCCTGCGCGCCAGCTCCAGCTCCCCCTTCAGCACCAGGAAGAGGGCACACCTTGTTGGGAGAGGAGATGGGAAGCCTCAGGGGATACTGTGTCCCTGGAGGACAGTTCCTAAGCAGGGCCCTCAGGTTCTGGCCCACCCCCAAACGCCCTCACCCCCCAAGGTAATTCAGAGGCTCCTGGGGAAAGCTCTCTGTCTTTTCCTTTCAGCCAACGCATCCTAACGCATTAGGGTCGTTTCCCAAGCTGCCAGCCTTGAGAACAAAAAAAAAGGAACCCAGTGGGCAGCAGACAGATTTAGGGAGACAGCACACTGGACCTCCCCCTTCTGGGGTTTACGATGCGTATTAGCAGACCATGGGCTGGGAAAGTCCTAAGGGAAATAAAAGCACACAGTCTTGATTGGCCCAGCACTTCCCTCCTGGTTAGCCAGGGAAAACATGATCCCACCAAGCCCTTGCCAAACAGAACGTGTTCATCTGTGGCACAGCTTGGCAGGTGGCCCTTGGGTCTCAAACTGTGTGTCTTCTACCTTGCACTTACTGGCGCGGTAGCTGCAGCTTCATCGTCAGCTTCAGGGCCTCCAAGCAAAAGGCCTTGGCTTCGCTCACACTGCCCAGGCGGCCCAGGCGAGCGACCAGCTTCTCCGAGCAGCTCAGCACCTCTGTGAGAACCTGCCATTTTTGCACCAGATTTTCACCTGTGGCAAGAGTGAGACAAGACCGTCATTGTGCGGTTGAAGTCCCATCTCTGGAGCTAACACCGCCAGGGTCGCCATCCACTCACTCCTACAGGATGCTGCTCGCCTCCCAGGACTCACCATAGTCCGGAAACGGCGTCTCCACAGCTGCTTTCTGCGCCGAGAGCACATCGCTGCCCATCAGCAGGAGGAGGATGCTTCGGAGCAGCTTATGGGAGTCGATGAGCGCTACCTCGGGTGTCTGCCAGCCTGCAGTGGGTGGTGTGGAGAAAGGAAGGGGGACCCTCGGATGGCACTTCCTCAGCACATGCCGCTCGGCGGAAGACGGGCTGACAAAGGAGCGAGCCAACACCACCTCCTCCCCCAACGCAAAGCATGCTGCCACTGCCTGCAACCAAGGCGGGCTAGGCAAGGCCGATCACAGAACTCTCCCTGAGCTCACTAGGGGTCCCAGAACGCTTCTCGGCACAGTAAGCCAAGCTGCCGCAAGTCAATCCTTGAGTGCAGCCTACTCGTTTCCCCAGACACCCTGGGCCTGCTCTGTGCCGGTTCTAGGCAGGTGAGGCCACACAGCTGGACAGCAGAGAGCTAAGAGCAGACAGGGGAAGCCACCCACCCTGCCCAGGGAGAACTGTTCACCTTGGGCACAGAGCTGCTCCCCCAGGGCCACAGGAAGGCTGTTCGAGGAAAGGCTAAGGTAGACTGCCACCAGCTGCAGGGCCTGGACCCGCAGCAAGTACCAAGCCTTGGACGACTTCTGGAGGGCAGGGTCCTGAAGCACAGACAGCAGCAGAGAGACGCCCTCTGCCACCTGGAGTGGGGAGAGGGCGGGAGCGTGAGAGAGGTCTGCGCGAGTGAGCGGCAGGCAGAGCTGCGGCTGCCAGTGGCGCTCAGCTGACCCAACCCTGCTTTGCAGCCTGAGTCACTGTGTAGACCTGGGCCCGTCACACAGCCACCGTGTGAGACGACTCAGCTGTGGGATCCCAGGAGCTCTCCAGTCTAGGGCTCCCGCCCTTCCCACACCACCACCATGCTGGCTTCTAGTCAGAGGACAGACTGCCTGCAAGGAGAGCAGCCGAGAGAGAACAAGCCTACTAGGGAAGAACAGGGGAGCAAGTCACTGGGGCGGACCAGGCTTCCCGGGACAGGAACATTCCTCTTTGCTCCAGGGAAATCTCAGAGGCCGGGAAAACAGCCAGAACATTCTAAGGCCCTCAGAGCTGGAGGACGTGAGCCGTACGCGCGTACCTTCTGGGTGGCACAGCAGAGGTGACTCCGGAGGAGAGCACAGGTGAGGGTGAGGAGTGGGTACGTGTCCGCCGTCCCATCAAGAAGCTTTAGGCTCGATTCTGCCTCTTGCAGGTGTACCTGGGGAGACAGGGAGCACTCAGGGGAGGAGGGGGAGCCAGGCAGACTCCAGTTACGGCTCCCAGCCATTCTCAGCTCTGGACATGTGGCTCTGATGTAAAATTGAAAAAATTTAAAGGCTATTGTTCAGAGAAGAGCGAATTAATTTATTTGTAAAGATTTATGGCCCTCGATTGGTTTTAAAATTGCTGTGAGGGGCAGGATCGGCTCTTCCCTGGGTTCGCGCATTCACCAGGAAAATGCTGAAGCTGGACCCTGCAGTCTGCCAGGGGTGGTCATTCTCTTCAACTCTTGGCCCACTAGTCGCTGTGCTGGAAAGACACAGCTGTGCAATGGGGCGCTCAGAACCAGGACCCAATGGCAATGCCGGAGGTGCTAGCAGGGGGTCATGGCAGGGAAAGGGACAGCTTCTGTCCTCGAAAGAGAAGAAGTAGAAAACGCTCTCTAAAGGAGGGGACGAGTGGAGCTGAGCCTCGAAAAGGAAGTACAGGTTTGCTGCAGGGGGTGGGGGAGTGCTTCGGCTAGGGGGGCTCACACAACTGCAGACCAGGCTGTGTGGAAAGCGCCGGTTCAACCAGCGGCCTAGAGGGGCCACAAGGTGCTCGCTGGGAGTCGCAAGCAAACGTGGGTGGGACTGGAATGTCAAAGGTGAGAGAGACAAGGGAGTCGAGAGTCAGGTGGTGTCCTGCAGGTGATGCAAAACCCCAGCATAGAGATCAGACCAGGCGTGTGCCTGAGAAGCGGGCTCTAGCCGTCACGGGGCCAAGGGAAGAGGGAGAAAAGGAGCGTGGGATTGCCTGCAGGGCCCGGTGACAGTGCTGGCGAGTCAATGGTCAGGGAAGCAAGGATCAGCAGGGTCCGCCTAGAGCACAGGGTGGGGACCACTTGATGGGACAGCTGGTTCTGGGGGAGCAGAATCTGTGAGGCCTGGTGAAGAAACGGCCTTCGGACGCAAAGAAGGAAGCCACCTCTTCCCACAGCAGCGCACCCCCACTGCACGATTTACATACTTCAGCGGAATGTGGTAGCGGACGGCCCCTCCGCTATCTTATCATTTCAAACAACGGGGGCGGGGGCATTAAGGCCAGGTTTCCCTCCCTGGCTCCCGGGCGAAGCTGGCTGGGCACTCACCTGGGCATAGCTGTGGCAGCCCAGACTCAGGAGGAGTTGGGTGAGGTGGCAGGAGGCGGCGGCTGCCTTTGCGGGGTCCTCTAGGTGCTTGGAGACAATCCGTAGGAGCAAGAGGACCTCCAGAGCCTGCAGGGGCTGGTCAGCGAGGAGCAGTCATGTTACCCCGCTCCCGCCACACTCCCACGGCTGCCCTTCGAACCCCGGACTTGGGGACCTTGGTCTGTGGCCTGGGCAAAATGTGGCTACAAACAGAGCAACCATCATTCACCTCAGGGAGCCCCAAGATTGGAGCAGCGAGGGAGACTGTACACCAGCCTACCCACTTCTGTTTTAAACCCTAGATGCCAATGAACAAGAAGGGCCAGGATGTTCTGAGCACGTACTATACAGGAGCCAGGCACCGCGCCACGGAGGACCTCTCGACTCGGTCCTCAGAGCAACACTGATTCCAATCTTATGGGGAGGGGCTTAAGACGCCTGTAGGTTAGGCTGCTTGTCCAAGCAAGGTCAGGTAACAGGTGTGTGGCAGGGCCATGAGTCAGATCTAGAGCTGAGGCAGCTCCCCAGGCCCTGGTCCTGAACAGCCCACAGTCACGTTTTGTATAATGCTCTCTTCTGGGGGCTCCCGGTGTGAGGTTTAGAGAGGAGCTTCCTGGGGTGGGGACCACGGTCCTATGAACCCCTCTGAAATCACATTCAAAACATGTAATCAAACTGTTTATAAAGTGACATATAACTTAAGGTTATACAGGCCTCAAGTTGTCTAAGAATGAAGAATGATGGCTAACATTTGAACACTTCACGCAAACTGTGTTCCAGGCATTAGCTCGCAGAATGCTAACAACCCTATGAGGTAGGCTTTATTTATCATCGCTGTTTCAGAGATGAGGATGCCTAAGGCCATGCCGTAGTAAATGAAGGAGCCAAATGAGAGCCCACACTCTTAATGTTCAAGTTACCTGGCTTCTCTGGGGGTTCACAAGTCAAAGAAAGGGAAGGAGCTCAGCTTCTAGTCTTACGTGTGTGTGTGTGTGTGTGTGTGTGTGCGCGCGCGCTCTATCAATACACTGTGACATTACCTTGGCCATCAGCTGATAGAGGGCTGCTAGGATCTGCAGAGAGCCTGCTGTCTGCTGGAGACTCCGCACCACTGGGGCCTGCCCCTTAGTCAGCACCTCCTTCCACAGGGCCAGGGCTTCGTCCAGGTATTTGGACTGAGCTGCGAGGCAGAAGAATGAGCCCCGGCTCCCTTAGCCTCCCATCTGGGGGGAACTTGGCTTTCTCCCTAATGCCCTCTGCCCTTTGTGCCAACCTGTCTGCCCACCTCCCCAACACCCACCACCTCCTCCTCCTAAGGCAAACCTCTCCCACATCCAGGCCCCAGTGCTGCTTGGGGAGCAAGGGGAAGACCCCATGCCACCAGTCCCTCACCAGCATCTGCTGCCAGGTTGAAGGCAATGTTACTATACAGAAAACGATCCTCCTGGAGCTTATCTTCATAGTTCAGGTCGTTGACTTCAAATTCCTCCAGGTTACTAGGGGCCTGGGCTCTCCGATCTCGCTCCATACCCTGGAAAGTGGGGAGGAGTAATACCAGTTTACTGGGGGCCCAGGGAAACCCTCGTCCCTCGCACTGCTGGGCCCCACAGCAACCACGCTCACCTCCTGCATCTTGGCCTCCAGGGTGCAGATGTAGAGCCACAGCAGGGCCTGTGCTTTATCGTCCAGAAACCGATCCTCAGCCTGGGCCTCGGGCCTCACAGACTCCAGAAGCTGCAGGGCTTCCCGGATAGCATCCAGGGCAGAGCTGCAGGGAGAGACGGCATGTCAGCCAGGCTCACGATGCGCACCGGCCACGGGGCTGGGGCAGGTCTTGCTGCAGAACAGCTAGCCTCACCCTTCTTTTATTTGACATATAACTCATGATTTAAATATATTAAAGGACCCAATAAAATGGTTAAAAATAAAATAAATACAAATAAATGAATATATTAAAAGGAGTTGTGCAGTCATCACAATCAATTGTAAGACATTTTCTATATTCTTGTACCCATTATTCTTGTATTCGTTATCATTAAGCCATCCATTTCCCACAACCTCTCCTTCATAACCCTAAGAAACTATTAATCTAGTTATTGCCACTATAGATTTACCTATCCTGGAATTCATACACAGAAAAACATCCCAAAAAACAAACACAACACAACAACAAGAAGACAGGATAGTGATTCAAAAGAAAGCAGAAAACATGAGCATTTAAAATTGCTCAGAAAGGAAAACAAATAAGATGTTCAATTTAAACCTAACTGTATCCACAGCAATCTACTTCCCAAAGCACTCTGAGGGCGAGACTGTCCACAGCCCTGGTCCGAGGGCTGTGGCAGCTCGGGGACGCGTAGCCCAGGTGCAAATGAGCGCGGGGCTTTCACTGCCATCCACGGTCTTCGGCAAATCAAGTGCTCAGAACTTAAGCGCTCACACAATTCCCTCCTGAGCGTGGATTTTATGACTTACAATCTTCAGACCACATGGGCTGGTGTGCTCCTTCTGTGCACACTTAGCTGACACTTCACACGGAGATGACTGCTTATTTCAAGACAAGTCGTTAAGACCTAGACGCGATTGTTTCTGATTGCCGGGCACCATCTGACTTCCTCACCACACTTTGCTATTCCCCACACCTTCAGCGATCACTTCATGAGGGTAACAATTAAGCGGGACCACATCCTAAGAACTGACTGTTCTTAGATTATTGATTTTGTTTTCCTCTGTTCTCAGCTTACTCATGGCCTTTGAACTCGTATGGCCCCAAACTGAAGGGGACACTCGGGGACGTAGAGGACAACACAGGGTAGAAAGAGAGCCCAGAAGACTGTGGGCTAGAAGTGAGAGTGGCCTCCTCAGCTATTCCTCCTCACCAGTCAGTGTGCTGGGCAAAGTTGTGGTAGCAGAGCACCTGAGCCAGTTCCACCAAGTGGGTGGCTCGCGCCCAAGCCCCGGCAGGCGTCTCCTCGGGACTCAGCTCCAACAGGTCGCAGATGACATTGAACCGTTCCTGCCCGGTGTCACCCCGCACCGCCTTGTAGGCCTGCAGCTCCTCCCTGAGCAGGAAGCTCAGGGTCTCCGGGTCCCAGCCACTCAGGCTGTCTCGCAGAGTCCTGAGAAACAGGAGATTCAACAAGAGGTGGAGCTGTGAGGCCGCAGACTGCCCCATGCCGGTGAGTCCCAGCTGTGGCTGGCTGCGAGCTCCGGGTGCTTCCAGTCGAGGCTTTACAAGTACAAACCAGACCCCGGTGGCCCTCTGTGTAATACCTCCGGCCCATAACACCCTATGTGACCAGGCCTCTGCCAACCCTGACCATCTCATTCCACATGCCTCCTCGCCCTAGACCCCGGCGACCCTCTCAAGGCAGGGGGCACCGCGGGCCTGTGTCTGCCCTGCCTGGCGTTTTCGTCCCCGAGCCATTACAACGGCGGGTTGCACCGCATCACCAAGTCTCAGTGCACACGGCCTTCCTCTCCACGACCCAATGAAAGCCCTTCCCTCTTCGCTGAATCACCAGTGATGGCCACAGCAAGAACCTGATTCACCACGATCCCCCCTCAGTACCACTTGCCGGCACCATGGCTGGCACAGAGGGGCACCGCGGCTGACTGATGAAAGCAGGGCTCAGTGCCTTTTCAAGCATGAGACTGGAAGGACAAGGGGGGCCAGCCACGTTCTCTCCCCACAACTCACTTCAGCTGGAGCTCCTTGTCTCCAGCCCGGGCGGCATCCATCTTGACCCGAACCCAGAAGCTGACTGGCTCGGCCATGTGTTCGGGGCCACAGCACCGCAGGGCTGCCAGCCACAGCGCCACCGTCAGGCAGCCCTGGGCCTGCTTGCCTAGCTTCTTCAGACTCTCCACATGCAGCCGGAAGCACCTGTGCAGCTACAGAAGATGGGGACGGAGCAATGTGAGTCCTGGTATGCACAGGTGTACACACACACCTGGAGAGCAGGGTGGGGGGCATGGTTCTCCTGCTCCCACCGCCACCCCAGGCCCAAGGCAGGAGACGATCTAATGAAGAATTAAATACGCGAGGAGCTCCAAGCCCTCTCCGAGGCTTCAGTCTACCCCACGCCCAAATCCCTTGTTCGCAACCCGTGCCTCCGTCTCGAACCCCCTTCGCAGCGGGCCAGGAAGACAAAAGGCCAGAGTCCTTTTCTTCTGGAGCCAGAAATGCAGGCTCTTTCCCTCTTCCTCCTCCTTCTCAAGTTAGCCCTTAACCCCTTGCAGGAGCCTAGACAAGCTCCTTCAGCTCAACTCCCCCCC